CCATTTTAACTTTTGGATAACAAATTATATGATAGTCTTCTTAACTATTAGTTCAATAACTTTGTTCCATTTTGTGCAATCATGTTGCTTGCGATACTGCAGTCACTGGGCTGTTTTCAAACCAAAGGCATTTACCGACACTCCCTAACAATTTGCTGAGAGTCATCAATTATGCAGGGTACCCGCACACACTGGGAAGGGAGATAGCAGCAACAATATGGCGACAGCCGCAGTTTCTCCCGAATCTTTTGGACATCTGCAGTTCAGTGCCGGCTGTCTGGATTTCTGTTAATACGGGAAAAGTAAGTAGATATTATGTTGTCTTGTCCGGCTGGGTTTTGGCGGAGGATGGATCATGCTACTTCCCTGACTACAACCTGCACCCCCAATGCCGCAGAGCGGTCCCCCTCTCAGCATCCTTTATCCTGGCTATTGTGGATAGCGCTCCTTGCCAAAGCTTGTGCAAATATGCATGGAAAACCTCAATTACATGTAGGGATGACTGTCTTTAGCTGAAAAAGATGAGTTTATACTGCGGAAAGTGGTGGAGAGTGTTAAGCAGGTACATCGGGGTGTTGGCCTGCCTCTGAACGGAATGACATTTCAATGTGTCAAAATGTGAAACATACGCATACGGTGGGATGGGGAAGTGGGAGCACGTCAAACTTCAGTGCGTGTTAGCGCTGACATCGACATACATGCAGCCATACAACGTAGCGGTATGCGCTTTGAGTCAATTTCTATTCTCGATACCTTAATCCTTTGTAAGACCATTTAACTATAATTGTGACAGTGTTACCTCATGCACCCCACCTCCACTCCATCACCCCTCCCCTTGCAATAGCCAACTAATGTTGAGGCTATATTGCTTGAGATAGGTATGCCTCAGGTTTGGCAAGGTTTGGCAGTTGAAGGGGGACCGCGGCACCCCCTCCTCACCTCTTTACAGCCCCCATCCCCAAATAGAGGTGGATAGAAATGTCCAAGATGGTGTTATAACCCTTACATGTTAATGTTGGGAGCCTTATCGCTTACCTAGGCAGCCTTCTCGGGTGTGGTGCTATTACAATACGGTCGTCAATGGTATCTGGGGAGCTTACCAAAAACCATTATCAAAACAATTTATACCATTTACTTCGGATAGTGGGGCTGAGATTGTTTTGGAGCAACACAGTTAAATTAATGACATAGCCTAGAATTTCTACGTCACTGCATGTTTTCAAATAGACTTGTGCCTCTGTCATAGAAGCATCCTCAATACTGCAGTATTTTAGTAAAGGCTTTGGCCCGCACGCCGGGGACAAGGCACGCGGGTGTGTAAACAGTGCATGGACTACAATACAAAGCCATACTGATAGACCATACAGTGGAAAAGTTATTACCAGTTTATAACATATAGGCCAAGAAGTTGCGCATTTTACTTTGCTTAACGGTTTTACATGTGCTATGGGGTTTAACAAGTAATAACCTGTAATGACAACTTTTTTGGGAGGAAATCGACTTATAAATTAATCGATTATTGTCCTGACATGGGCAACATGAGCAGTTTTCTGAATGACCTCCATTTTGGCTGGGGTTTAACGATGCTACCCTGTTCATTCATAGACTTGTGCCACAACACTGAAAGCGCAAGAGCCAGATTATATCCAAGTCAATGGGATTGTCATGAAGTCTAGACTAATTGACTATATTGTGTTTATATTTGTGTATATAACTTATTCCAGTCCATATTGCTCTCATTCAGTAGCCTATCCAGTCAATGCTAAATATGGCAATTTGCAGTTATTGAATTCTGTGTGCCACTGGCATGTAGGCCCTCATGTGTAGACGCACAGGTTAAGGTGCGTACCCTCGGCTGGTTCCGTGCGGACTCCTCTATCCAGTTGCGTTTCTCTCCTCAATAGATCTCCACTCTGCCCCTCCTCTTCAGGTCTGTCTAAGACTCTCCACGATGTCGGATGCTCTCAGTTTCGTCGTTCTTATAGCCCCCCTCTCAATCATGGAGTGAAACAGTTGCGATAAATAGTTCAGTTACAGGCCTAGGCTACTCCGCTGGTTGGGCGTTTGGATGTCTCTTTTCTTGGCATAGAGGACACACGCATAGAGGACTCGAGCTTGCGCTTCCTTTGAGGCTGCATCAGTGGTGCTGAAACGGACAGCGATAGGCAGCGCGATCTAAGGAGACTTCCATTCAACATCTAGTTTTGATTTACATTTGGTTGAGTTGTCAACTAACGTGTATTCAACGTGAAAAAAAAGTCACCATGTCATTGGATCTAGATTCAAAGTTGGGTGAAAAAAAAGACGAAATGTCCTTACTTTGATGACTTTTTGCAAATCCAATCATTTTCCCACGTTGATTCAACATCATCAGATTGATTTTTTTTTGGTTGAAATGACGTGGAAACAACGTTGATTCAACCAGTTTTTGCCCAGTGGGGCGGCTTCCAGAAGCTACTGGAGTTTTCTACCATCTCAGGTTCGGTTTCATGCAATTAACAATCCTTCTCACAATGGACTAATCACTCGTCTGTCTGTAACAAAATCTAAACGGATGTTACAATTATGCTATTGTTAAATACGCATGCTAATTGGGTTCGAATGTCCGGGATGGAATTAGGAACAGCATGCACTCTCAGCGATTGAATGGACACGTGAGTAGCCTTCATTTTTTGAATGAAATGTTTTGCATCACAAGGTCCCATCCTTCTTGGAATGTGGTTGGCTATTAAATTGACTTAGTTTACCTGCAGCCCCAATGAAGACAATGAATAGTCTTGATTAACTTGACACATTCGCTATAGGAAAGCCGGTTGGACAGCTCCTCTATGCCACCATTAGTAAATTAGGTCCCCATATGTCCTGTGTTGCATCAATGTTTTTTAATCACCTTGAACATAGATACATTGATGTAGCATTTGTGGAAGGAGACTTGGAGGTTGCACCAGGGTCGGGTTACTTAAAACGACTACTTAATTTCCTGGTGGTACAATCTCTGGTGTCAGCGGTTTATAGGGTATGGGGGGCTTTTAAGGTTTCTTTGCCCTTCGTTCATTCGTAGCCACATTAATTAGTCATGAAATGTAGCCTAACCTCTGTAACGTGCACTGCAATGTTCATGACGATGATGATTAAAAATGTATCTATATCAGGTCAGATAATAGCCTACATGTTTATACAAAAAAATAACATCATACCCTTGCCAATATATTAGAAAAAAACTAAACTGAAATTGAGATTTCCACTTCAAAGTCCCAAAAATATCATGGACTAAATTATTCAGAAATCAGAAGAATTAAATGTATTTGGTTGGAGGCAGGTGATTCTCATTTACTGTGTAATTTTTCTCACCTGTGAGTAAGTTGCAGGTGCCTACAGGGTAAAAATAGCCATTCAACCAGTTTTAACAAGAGAAAACAGAATATTCTGCTCCATTGCTCTCCATTGTAAAGTGCAAGGGTGAAAATATATTAGAGCGCAACTGTAATTGACACTAACACATTACAAGTCAAAAATACTGAAAAATGAAGATCCATCATGACCAGGTTATAGCAATGACCTGTGGTGTTTTGAGAATCTACTGAAGTCATATACGTTTGTTATCCATCATACCACCTGAACTCCAGCCTTCTAGAGAAACATTACAATGGAACAGAAGTGGAAGAAAGTTCAGAAGGGACCATATTTGGATTAAGATGCCATGGTACCAATGTTTTCCGAGTTAGAATGTGGGTACAAAGGGAATATTGTATTAAGCTATGTTATGTAAGGTATTTCAGAGAGAGAGAGTGAGAGAGAGAGAGAGAGAGAGAGAGAGAGGAGGAAGTATCCTACAGATGGAACATTAGTCAGGTATTCCAAAGAAAGACACTTAACAGAGCTCCCTCCCTCCAGAAGCAGTACAGGTCACCTGGGACAAGGGAAGAGCCCATGCAGCAGACAGACAGGCACAGGGAAACAGAGGGCTGGAGGTGGCCATTCATTCTTCTCCCTGTAAGGTCACCAAGGTAATCAACAGGCCAGACAGACAGCATCAGAGCCAACATGAATGAATGTGAAAACCTCAATGGCAGCCCTGATTTATGTGGCCTTTATCTGTATACATTTTGAGAAAGCAAGAGAGAGAGAGAAGGAGAGAGAGAGAGGGAAATAATCAGAGAGAGGGAGAGTGAGAGAGTGTCTGGCTCAGGTTCCTAATGGTTGTACATCCTCTAGTCAGGATGCCTGGCTTTGACGGCTTCCTCTCTGACAGAGATAGAAAATGTCACCCTGTCTCAGGCTTAGGGAGAGCGACAGACAGACAGATAGACAGACACAGACAGAGATGACACAACCGAGCAATGAGTCTTGTTAATAAGCGCCATGATGAAATATAAAACTATCAGATGTTTAATTCGTCTCTTTGTTAGTCTTACCATCTAATTTTAACTAAAAGAGGAGGCCCCGTGTAGCTCAGTTGGTAGAGCATGGTGCTTGCAACGCCAGGGTTGTGGGTTCGTTTCCCACGGGGGGCCAGTATGAAAAATGTATGCACTCACTAACTGTTAGTTGCTCTGGATAAGAGCGTCTGCTAAATGACTAAAATGTAAATGTAAAATGAGACCTTCATGAGATGTTAGCTATAGCCTTCTGAGTGTTGTTCTATTTGATTCTACCCAAGGTGATCATTATCAACAAGATCATTATTACTTTTTCAATTTTGTAATTTGATAGTAGGACAGGCTGTTTACCCAGATGCTGAACTGCGGTATACTTCCTAAATCATGACCAAAGTTCTTAGTGAAAATGGATGTTCTCAACTTGAGTTTCATTAGAGATATGGATTTGTCAGCATTTATACCTTTTATCTTGTCTCTTTTTCTCCTCCTCCTCTCTCTCTCGCTCTCTTTCTCGCTCTCTTTCCCTATCTCTCTTGCTCTCCCACTCTCTCTCTCCCTCTCTCAGAGCCGGATGTCCTGGATGAAACGTAAATAAAGCGGAAATAGCTGTAGGATGAAAACATGGCTGCGCCCGGTCTCGCACCCCCAGGACCTGACAGCTTCAAGCTGTTCACCCCCGAGTCGCTCCGTACTATCGAGGAGCGCCAATTCCAGGAGAAGATCAAGAAAAAGCCCAAGCCCAAGTCTGACAGCAGTCACCGCGAAGAAGAAGAGGAAGAACCCATGCCCAATGGTGATCTGGAGGCGGGGAAGTCCCTCCCTTTCATCTACGGGGACATCCCTAATGGACTGGTGGCGGTACCACTGGAGGACTTGGACCCCTATTATATAAATGAGAAAGTGAGTTCCTACACCACTCAATCCCACACAGGGCTCGGCATGACAAAGGGATCAAACTAACTCCCCTGCAGTGTGGAGAAGTTAGGGGTTGGAAAGTTGTGGGGTAGGATGGGATGGGTCAGAGGTTTGAAATTAGTACTGGTATGATATCTGTTTAAAATAACTTCAGGAAGGAACAAATGGATTGTACTATACTCAAGTCTTTATAGCTTGCCTTTTAAATGTATACTGCTTATGACTGTGTTATAAGTCCTAATGTGTGTCCCCTATATTAAGCTTTAACCAAGTTTATGAATGAGAATTTATGCTTATGGGGTAAGGATAAGGAAAAAACACTAGCATGGCTTGGCTATGAGCAAATTTAGAATCAAACTATCTGTAGGAAACCTGATTAACCTTTTACTGCAGTGGACTAAATCAGTGTCACAAAGAGTGTTTCCTGGTAGTTTTAAACAAATCTACTTTGAAACAAAATTATACACCTCACACACAGGGCTTAAAAAAAGAAGACACCTGTACCATGCCAGATATAGAGTTGAAATGTATTCAATTTAGAGTTTGTATTCCAATATTACACTTTATATACATCACAGAAGACTGAAATATAACAAAACACCAGATTTTCGAATATTAATAACATTTCACCCATGAGGCCACCTGGTCATTTGACTGCAGGAAAGGGCTACGAAAGGAAGAAGCCCACCCTTATTAGACAAAATGGAGGTTTGTGTTCCACATCGTTGTACCAGCCATGAAAATAGGGTTAAGGCACAGCGTCAACAGCAAAGATGACCTTGAGGTGTGGTATTGCTCTTTAATAGTTTGACCACTGGGAGAGGCAATTAGAGCCAGTCGATGCCTATGAAGGCTCACATAGAGCTCATAGGTACATAATGAATGCTCTGGCTAGCACAATTACCCAGAAGATGCTAGTGGATCCAGTAACTCTGCAGTGAATGTCTGGAGCTCTGGACCGCAGGCCTCTTTGGTAATGCTTATGTAGTCTTATCTGTTGATTGATGCTCTGTGTTGCTGCACTTACTGGAAATGTGCTGTGGATGCTGGCAGCAGAGATGAGACCAGCGGGCCTCTCTGACTATGTGCTATCAGTGCTCCTGCTAATTGAATTTGCTAGTGAGGCAAATTGCACTTGGATTATGAGGGTGTTCTGTCGAAGCAGACGGTCTGCATGCGTGTGTGTATTGGGGTTTCTGTGTAGGAGAATGTGGTGTGTGTGTGCAAGTTTATGCATTTAGTGTATGTTTTTTCCTCTGTACATTTCCCTACATACATTTAGCACATCTTCATAGTATTTTTGCATGGGGTACTTTTTCCCTGCCTAATTGTACCACTCTGAAGGAGTTAGCAGCTGTTTTGGTCCCTTTTCACGTTTTTTTTTTTTTGCATGGCTTCCATACATTTTTTTTTTACATGGCTTCCTTGCTAAATGTGTTAAAAATACAACCACCATATCATATCATGATTCAGGCCAGCCACCACATTATGCCCAACTTGGTATGCAGACACAACACATAGGAGCTCCCGTTTAGCATAAGTCAAATGGTTGCTTCCCCTACCAGCCCAGGACACAACAGTTCAGTTTCCCTTTCAGTTTAGTCCCCACTCCCCTCAGCTTCCACCCCCCCTCCCTCCCCCCCAGTGTAACCCTAGCCAGGGAGAGGAGAGGAGGGGCTGGCTGCACCTTGAGGGCGGTAGAGGTGAGGAGCAGCCTATTTCCTGGGCCAGCTGGCTGTATTGGGCTGAGTTGCTGGGCTGGGCTGGGCAGGGCTGGAGAAAGGGTTAAGCTGAGCTGGATGGCTGGGCTAAGCTGGAAGCTGGGCTGGCCTGGGCTGGAGGCAGGGCTGGAGGCTAGGCTGGTGGTAGGGCAGGGCTGAGGCTGAACTGGGCTTTAGGCTAGGCTGGGCTGGGCAGTCCTGTAGGCTAGGCTGGAGGCAGAGCTGGGCTGGGTGTTCTAGCCTGTAAGAGAATCTGGGGCCTGCAGGGCTATAGAGACCCACTCAGCAGTATGCGTGCCTCCTATGATCTAACGATCCATGGACTTTTATGATGGCAGCCAGAGGAAGGGTGATGGCGAGGTGCAATTGCTGCATCTTCCCCCCCTCTTCCATCCTCCCCTCTTCCTTACCCCTTTGCCCTATCTGTTATGCTTGGCTCTCTCCTTCTCCTGCCTCTGCTCCCTTGTTTCTTTGTTCTCTCCTCCCTTTTCTTTGTGGAGGGATGGAGGTAGACTCGTTCATCAGGTGGTGCTCAGGGCTCCTTCATGCACACCTCTCTCTTGTCTGGAGCTGTGTCTGTCTCAGTGAATCCCTCCCTAGACCCCTTTGTGTGTGTGTGTGTGTGTGTGTGTGTGTGTGTGTGTGTGTGTGTGTGTGTGTGTGTGTGTGTGAGTGTGTGTGTGTGCGCATGTATGCTGTGACTCCTCTCCCTCACTCTGCCCTCCCAAGGTCTGTTACCTTTGTCAAACACACACCGTAGGCAGTGCTGTGTGTGTGTGTGTGTCAATTAAGTAAGAGGGCCCGGTAGAGAGCAGAGCACAAGTCACTGACCTGCTGGGACCAGGATGGTCTGGGACACACAGTACAATGGGCATCCCCCTCCCTGGCCATTCAGAGCGTTTTACTACCTCCCTCCCTCCCTCCCCTCTCCCATCCACACCTTCACCTTTCATGACACCTATGGGAGCCCTGGCATGCATATTAATGTGTCGCCTCAAAACCTCCTCCTCCTCAATCTCTCTACCTCTTTTCTCTCTCTACCGCTCCAGGTTTCTCATCCTCTCCTCTACTCGACCGCCAATTCCCCTCTCCCCTCCCGCTCTCCCCACCTCCATGTGTGCAAGCTTGCGTATGACCGTGTGGTCTGTGTGTGTGTGTGTGTGTGTGTGTGTTGCTGTTAGCTGCAGTGAAACCTGATCACAGCACTCATGAATCGAGTAGGGGAAGAGGGGAGCGATGCCGGTGAGGGAAAAGTGCAGTCGCTGCAGTTTCTCTTCTCCCCTGGCTGTGATGGATGTGTGTGTTAGTGTGTGTGTGTATCTGTGCATGTGATCATTTGTGCAGGCGTACGTGCGCGCATGTGTGTGTGACAGTGCATGTGTGTGTGAGTACATGTGTGTTGGAGATGGGGTTGAATTGAAGTTGTGCAAGTGTATGTGTGTGGGAGGAGCCACAGTGAACGCTGTGTGTGTGCCCGACAGACGTGTTGGCCTGGACGCTACGTAGAAATGTTGAACTATACCAGGGGTACTCAACTCTTACTCTACGAGGTCCAGAGCCTGCTGGTTTTCTGTTCTAGCTGATAATTAATTGCACCCACCTGGTGTCCCAGGTCTAAATCAGTCTCTGATTAGAGGGGAACAATAAAAAAATGCAGTGGAACTGGCTTTGAGGTCCAGAGTTGAGTTTGAGGGAACTAGACAATACAGCACTATTGGTTGTTTAATACAGCATACATGGCATCTACAGTAGCTTTAGCCTGGTTGTCAGATCTGTTTGTGCTTCAGACAAGCTAAAACAGGTCTGGTCTAGTGACCAAGTGAATGTAACAGAATGTAGTACTCTATGGCGTAACCAGCATCTCTCCTGCTAGTCATTCTATCTCCATGGTGTAGCATTGACCCTTGCTAGCCATTCTATCTTTATGGTTTAGTAGCATTGCCCCTTGCTAGCCATTCTATCTCTATGGTGTAGTAGCATTGAACTTTGCTAGCCATTCTTACACTGTAAAAAGTGGGACAGCACTGTTGTTCATTTGAAGTGCTTTTTCTGATTGGTATGATCCAAAATTACACTTTGGTTCATTCAAGCTATTCTATTAAATTGACATGAAATCAAATAACGAATTTGACAGATCAATGTGATCTTTTGAATTGAAAGAAAACTTCTATATTGCTTTTAACATCTCATGCACATTCACATTGCATAGCGGTGGGTGCAATGTAGCGGCAGCAGCCTATCAGAAGAATAGGAGGCATGGCCTATTGGAGGTGTGGCTTTCAGTATGTTATTTTTGGCCACCTGTGAGAGTGAATATCATTCCAGGTAATGTCTTCTGTTATAAAAAATAAATAAATGATTACAGTATTATGCAAGCACTGAATCTTAAATGATATCTAAATAAGTACTGTGATAGTAAAGAGCCTGGAAAGGTTTCCATTGATGGTCACCATTTGGTTACAATATTGTAACCAGTTAATGTGAAAGTCTTATGTAAAGAAAGTGTTTGGAGTCGTTATTTAATGCTATGGAACCAACTTCATTTCTTGATTAGCAGGAAATTGATTTAATTGCTTGTAACCCAAATGAAGAATATGTAGATGTATATGTAATTACAAAGGGGAAAATCTACTTGGTACAACATGAAAAAATGGGTTGTATAGATATGTTTGTTTTTATGTTATTTATTAGGTTTAACCAATGGGGAGAAGTAAGTGTAGTGTTGAAATAAAGAGGTTGCAACTTGAAATATAGATTTGTTAATAATCAAATATAACAGTTGGCATTGAATCATTTATTTGGTTTGAACAAGTGTTTGCTTTTTTCATTTTTTTTTTACATTGCATCTCTATTATGTAACCAGTGTCTCTCCTGCTAGCCATTCTACCTCTATGGTGTAACCAGTGTCTCTCCTGCTAGTCATTCTATCTCTATGGTGTAACCAGCATCTGTCCTACATGCTGCTGTCCCCAAATGACCCTGGCTGAGTAGCAGACTGACAGGTCATTTCCAATGGCTGCTGCTGATCAGACAGGGACAATGAAGATCTTTGAATGAGTAAAACATATCCAGAATGATACACTAGTATCATTAACCATAGCTAGATCCCACGTTGGTGACTTTACTCGCTTCCTATCATGCCATGGCTGTGATTTTAAAGAGGCAAATCCCCCCCCCCCCTTTCCTCTCTCTCTCTCCCTCTTTCTCTCTCTCTGGGGTGTAGTAAATTAGAGCAGGGGCCTGGCTTTAGCGCTCTGTCTGAGTCCTTAGTGTCTGATGACACAGCATCCTTCTGTACTGCTGAGGGGGAGGAGAGAGGGAGGGAGGGAGGAGGGGGAGGGGGAGGGGGAGGGAGGGGGGATCACACCACACCGCACGGGACATCTAGAGGGGAGTGATGCTCCATGGAGTTGGACTGGCTAAATACACTCTTAGAAAAAAGGGTTCCAAAAGGGTTCTACGTCTGTACCCATAGGAGAACCCTTTTAGGTTCCAGGTGAAACCCTTTTGAGTTCCATGTAGAACCCTTTCCACAGAGGGTTCTACATGGAACTCAAAAGAGTTCTACTTGAAACCAGAAGGGTTCTACCTGGAACCAAAAAGGATTCTTCAAAGGGTTCTCCTATGGGGACAGCCGAAGAACCCTTTTAGGTTCTAGATATCACCTATTTTTCTAAGAGTGTAGTTACATATGTGTGCCGGGGAGGGAGTGAGGGAGGGAGTGTGGTTGGATAATGATGTGTTAGCATTATAGTACATGCGGTTGCGTAAATGCTGGCCGGTAGGTTATGTATACTGTATACCGTAATGTGACCATCATCTCTGGATGTATTAATGCACATATGTTTTAGCAAGGGTTTAAGATGGTTTGTCTCACTGAATGTGTTTCTGTTTGCGAAGGTCATTGATGTCTTGGACTATGATTCAGACAAAAATCATGGCTGAGGTCAGTCAGGTGTTTAAAGAACAGTCTAATTAACCCCCTCCCCTTCAGCTGTGGTACTATGATGTAGCCTATAGAGATAGGCTACTCCACCCTCCCTCAATGACCTACTCTCCATTGTTTCCCCTGCTCTGTCATCTCTTTCTCTTTTTCTCTCCTCCCTCCCTCCATCTACCCATCCCTATCTCCTCCCTCCCTCCCTCCCTCCATCTATCCATCCCTCTCTCCTCCCTCCCTCCCTCCATCTACCCATCCATCTCTGCTTTGGCTCTCTCCCCTCTGCAGCTCTCAGGGTTTTCTTCTGCATTCCTCCCTCTCCCTCTCCCTCTCCCCCCTCCCACCCCCTCATTCCCCCTCTCTCTATCTCTCGCTTTTCCTCCACTGCATGCCCCCCCCCCCCCCCCCCTCTCTCTCTCTCTCTCTCTCCTCTCTCTCTCTCTCCTTCTCTCCTTAATTTGCTCCCTCTCTCTTTGGCTATCTTTGCTGCTGTCCCTGTATCACTGCATGGCCCCTCCACATCCCTCTCTCACTGCTCCACTGCATGCCACTCCCCCTCCCTCCTTCCTCTCCCTCTCTTTGGTTGTCTCTGCAGCTGCATTCTTCCTCCTATTCCTGCATATGTATTTCTCTTCAAAGCTTCTATTGTGAATGATGAAACTTGCAGTAGCTTTGCAGCAAATCCGTCATGAGACATTCAGTATGCATTGTGTGTGTATGCAGGTATGTGTGTGTGTTCTTGTGTGTGTGTGTGTGTGTGTGTGTACTAGTATTTAGTGGGACCACATGCCTGTGTGTACACTGTGTATAGAACCCGTACACTCTGTGTGATTGCATGTGAAGCGTGCCTTTGATTATCCCACAGTGGGTCCAGCACACTCATGCATCATATGGCCGTTATGTACAGGCCCATTTCAATATGTCCGGGAATCGTAGGCTAGCTAGCCTGCTCTCCTCTCCACAGTGATGGGGCACCTCACTATGTCCTGGTTCCTATCCTCCTATAGGCTTCCTTCCTTCCTTCTCTCTCTCTCTCTCTCTCTCTCTCTCTCTCTCTCTCTCTCTCTCTCTCTCTCTCTCTCTCTCTCTCTCTCTCTCTCTCTCTCTCTCTCTCTCTCTCTCTCTCTCTCTCTCTCTCTCTCTCTCTCTGACTGTCCCTCTATCCGCAGCCATATTGTCACAAAGCACTGATTGGCCATTGTAGCCGTTCTACAATAGCCAGTCAGTGTAGTCAATAGCAGATTTCTCCCTCCTCTCTCTCCACATCCATCCAGATTACAGACATACTAAAGCCCCTTTACAATTTAATTATGATTCTGTATGTACATTGATTGCAGTAAGCCATAGTAGATGACCTAAATTGAAACATAAGCCTAGCATATAGCGATGAAACCGATGCATGGTGTGTGTGTATATCAGTGTGTGTGTATGATGTGTCATCACAAAATAACACTTTGATAACTGTTTGTGAGAAAATAACTGCAGATGGCAGTGATCTGTAGTTTTTATGGCTCAAGAATGTCAGTGAATCAAAGGCCTGTCAGAATATGAATGAATATTCCTGGCTGATAACAGTAGATAAGAATAAGATTAATATGATTCTTTAATCACATTTAATAAGATTAATGACATTGGAATGTAACCATTTGGTGCCAAGAAGACTATCAGAGCCATGCAAACAGAGGCTTACGTGTGTCCTTGACTAAAGTTGTGTCCTCAGAGGGTCTGAAGTAAAAGTCGCCTTCACTCCCCAGGGAGGGAGGGAATAAAGGGAGGGAGGGAGGGAGGAATTGAAGGCAGGACAGCCAGAGAGAGCACAGACACCTAGCATGAGGCTATAGGGACCACATCTGTGGCCATGTTGACAGGCATATCAATGAGTCCAGAGCAGACCAATCATTACACATGTATTTTCTGTCATAGCATTTGACATCCTTCTTGGAATGTTAGATTTTTGCTGTAGCCCTAATATGATTCCTTGACTTGTCAATGTTTTTAAATTGCTGTTTTATGATTTTGTTATGCTCCTGTGATTTCTATGGATGTTTACTAGATTACTTGTAGTTTTTCATGTTGTATGTCTGTAATTGTGTAATGACTTGGTGCTGCCTATCTTGGCACAGGACGCTCTTGAAAAATATATTTCAAATCTCAATGAGCCCTTCCTGGTTAAATAAAGGTGAAATAACATTTTTTTTTAAATTATCCTGGGCCTAATTTTGACCAACATCAGATGTTGATTGGGGTGAATGATAGAGGTAGATTATTTTTTCTGACAGGAAGAAATGGTGAGGATTTGAGTTAGCCTAGCCATAGACAGTGTACGGTCAAAAAGAAAGGAGAGGAAGAAATACGTAGGGAAGGAGAGAGCGAGGGATCAGGGGAGAGTGAGAAGTGTTGTAATGCAGAGACAGAATATATTTTGTCTTTCCCCAGACTGCTCTGCAGCCACCACTCGCTATTTTTAATCTAATTAGATTTCAGGACACTCCTGTCTCAGGACACCTCTGTCTTGTTGCCCAGCCGCTCCGCTCCTTGCCAGTGTTTCCCTAGGTTTGTGTAACAAACGGACAGTCCCAGTGTGTGTGTGTGTGTGAGAGAGTTTGTCTGAATGCCTTTTTGGCGTCTCTATATAGCTACTGTATGTCTTTGTAGGTGTGGATTCCTTCTCTGAATGCATATGTGCATAAATGCGTATGTGTCTGTTTGTTGTGCATGCCATGTGCACAGCTGAGCTTTTAATTTGTCAGGCTGACTTTGTGTTTCTGTTGTACATATGTGGGGCTTACAGTGTAGCGGGTTGTTTGACTGTGTGTGAATCGGGCTGTATCTGTGTTGAGTGTGTAGTATGTTAAGCTGAGCTGTTTATGTGTTTCATTCTATGCATGTTGGCCTATGTTGCGTGGTGTGCAGTATACTATAGCTGTTGTGGAGTGTAATACTGTTCTGTACTGTACAGTAGGAAGGTACTGCAGAGGTCATCTGATCTGGACTCGTGTTACGTAGTTCTCTCTCTCTCTCTCTCTCTCTCTCTCTCTCTCTCTCTCTCTCTCTCTCTCTCTCTCTCTCTCTCTCTCTCTCTCTCTCTCTCTCTCTCTCTCTCTCTCTCTCTCTCTCTCTCTCTCTCTCTCTCTCTCTCTCTCTCTCTCTCTCTCTCTCTCTCTCTCTCTCTCTCTCGGAACAGGACACACACACACTCTCTCCTTCTCACCACAGCCAGGCCAGCCCCACTTGGCCCAGGCCTGTTTATGGGATAGGGAGTGGTTGTTGAGAGGCTGGAGTCAGCAGATCTTGGTTTGATCGATGGCAGCGTTTGCAGTTCTCCTCCAGTAAGAGCTTTAAGCTGGGAGAAGAACACAGCTATTTGGCAACATACTGGGGAGAGGAACACAGGAAGGAAGGAACACACACAAACACTGGGATCTCTTACGGTCACTGTCAGTCAGGGGCTCTTAGTTACTCTAACTGGAAGTGGTACGGTAGTTAGATGACATTTTCTTGATAAAGGGTTAAGTTATTAGGCTATTCAGACCTGGGCATTTAATTCCATTTTAATCCTTATGGTGCCATGTTAAAGTGGGTTTAAACTTGAAAACGACTTGTGGTTGTAATACAGCAGAATTCTTCTTGCAGTGAAAGGGCATGGCAAACTGAAGCAGCAAGTTCCATCAAATGGGTGGAGCCACCCTGTGTGCCCTATGACTTAAAGCTGAGGTCAGCAATCAGATTAGCCAATGAAAAGTCAGCTTGGTGTACCTTAGTCATGACTTCCCATTTCTGTTGACTCAGCATGAGGCCCACAGTGACAGTTACATGTTCTGTATGTGTCGTGAAACCCTGATGAAGCCAGCATAGCGGTCCAAACGATGGTATCTATTACATTTATTGCATCGGAGCCATGAGAGTGTGCAGCTTTTCTTTTCTGTCCCGTATGTGTCATGCATTGTATTGCTCTTGTTAATGCAACTCTCTCTCTCTCGCTCTCTTTCTCTCTCTCTCTCTCTCTCTACAGACGTTTATAGTCCTAAACAAAGGGAAAACAATCTTCCGCTTCCACGCCACGGACTCCTTGTACGTCATCAGCCCTTTTAGTCTCTTTAGGCAAATAGCAATTAAGATTTTGATACACTCATATCCTTTCAAGTGGTGCATTGTCTTGCTTTGAGATTATGATTTTGTTGTTTATCATGGGGAAATGATGGAGCACATGTACTTCTTCAATGTACTGTACACAATATTACGGTTGAAGGAGCGATTGATTGTGATGTTTTCTTTTGATTGGTTGAAGAAACAGAGAAGAGGTGATACAGGCCAAATCATTCTTGTGCACTGATCTGGATCTTGTGTCCCACACCATCCTGAAAAATCTTCCCTCCCTTGTCTGGATACTCTAGATCCACATCTCGTTAATTATTTCATGGATGGGGCCTCCCGAGTGGCGCAGCAGTCTAAGGCACTGCATCGCAGTACTAGAGGGGTCACTACATACCTGGGTTCGATCCCAGGCTGTATCACAACCGGCCGTGATCGGGAGTCCCATATGGCAGCAAACAATTGGCCCATCGTCATCTGGGTTAGGGGAGGGTTTGGCCGGGGGGGCTTTACTTGGCTCGTCGCGCTCTAGCGACTCCTTGTGGCCTGCAGGCTGACCTCTGTCGTCAGTTGAACAGTGTTTCCTCGGATACATTGGTGCGGCTGGCTTCCAGGCTAGTCATGTTTCGGAGGACGCATGACTCGACCTTAGTCTCCGAGCACGTTGGGGAGCTGCAGCGATGAGACAAGATTGAAATTGGGAAGAAAAAGGGGGTAAAATAAAAATAAGAAATACAAATATATATCATTGTAGAGTGTCTCACAGTATATTCAACTATGTTGCTACCGTATGTTGATGGGTGGTGGAGTTTATATGGTCATCAACCTTTTCTTAACGCTCTTCCCTCTTACGGTATTCAGTATGATCATCATGAGCACCATTTTGACCAACTGTGTTTTCATGACATTTAGTGATCCTCCAGAATGGAACAAGATAGTAGAGTAAGTATTGATTTACAATTCCCTATGTACATTCATAAACTGTTTAGAACACATTTATAAATTAATATGCATTTATTCACATAACTCACCCTTTCGCTGTCTCTCGTCTTATTGTGCTTTAGGTATACCTTCACAGGTATCTACACCTTCGAATCGCTTACCAAGATTGTGGCGCGAGGTTTTTGTATAAACGGGTTCACTTTTCTACGAGATCCATGGAACTGGCTGGACTTCATGGTGATCTCTATGGCGTAAGTAGTCCACCTCCTCCCTGTATCCCTCTACACATCCATCTCTCTACACATCCCTCTCTCTACACATCCACCTCTCTCTACACATCCATCTCTCTACACCTCCATTTCTCTACACATCCATCTCTACACCTCCATCTCTCTACACCTCCATCTCTCTACACCTCCATCTCGCTCAACACCTCCATCTCTCTACACATCCATTTATCTCTACACCTCCATCTCTCTACACATCCATTTATCTCTACACCTCCATCTCTCTACACATCCATTTCTCTCTACACCTCCATCTCTCTACACCTCCATCTCTCTACACCTCCACCTCTCTCTACACATCCATTTATCTCTACACCTCCATCTCTCTACACATCCATTTATCTCTACACCTCCATTCTCTACACATCATTTCTCTCTACACCTCCATCTCTCTACACCTCCATCTCTCTACACCTCCATCTTGCTCTACACATCCATTTATCTCTACACCTCCTTCTCTCTACACCTCCATCTCTCTACACATCCATTTCTCTCTACACCTCCATCTCTCTACACCTCCATCTTGCTCTACACATCCATTTCTCTCTACACCTCCATCTCTCTACACCTCCATCTCTCTACACATCCATTTCTCTCTACACCTCCATCTCGCTCTACACCTCCATCTCTCTCTGCACTGCCATCTTTACCAGGGTGACAAGGTTGGGCCAGGCAGTACATTCCACACCAGAGAATATTGTAAAACATGCAAAAGAATCCAAGATGAAGAAGCATCTCCAAATATTCATTCAGCAGAATATAATTAATTCAACTGAATCAATCAATTGAACATACAGTATATGTTAGTACAGGTACAGTGCATTTGGAAAGTATTCAGACCCCTTGACTTTTTCCAAATGTTGTTAAGTTACAGCCTTATTCTAAAACGGATTAAAATGTTTTTTCCCCCTCATCAGTCTACACACAATACCCCATAATGACAAAGCAAAAACGGGTTTTTATACATTTTTGTAAATGTATAAAAAAACAACAACTGAAATATCACATTTACATAAGTATTTAGACCCTTTACTCAGTACTTTGTTGAAGCACCTTTGGCAGCGATTACAGCCTTGAGTCTTCTTGGGTGTAACGCTACAAGTTTGGCACACCTGTATTTGGGGAGGTTCTCCCATTCTTCTCTGCAGATCCTCTCAAGCTCTGTCAGGTTGGATGGGGAGCGTCGCTGCAAAGCTATTTTCAGGTCTCTCCAGAGATGTTTCGATCAGGTTCAAGTCCAGGCTCTGGCTGGGCCACTCAAGGACATTCAGAGACTTGTCCTGAAGCCACTCCTGCGTTGTCTTGGCTGTGTGCTTAGGGTCATTGTCCTGTTGGAAGGTGAACCTTTGCCCCAGTCTGAGGTCCTGAGCGCACTGGAGCAGGTTTTCATCAATGATCTCTCTGTATTTTGCTCCGTTCATCTTTCCCTCGATCCTGACTAGTCTCCCAGTCCCTGTAACTGAAAAACATCCCCACAGCATGATGCTGCCACCACCATGCTTCACCGTAGGGATGGTGCCAGGTTTCCTCCAGATGTGACGCTTGGTATTCAGGCCAAAGAGTTCAATCTTGGTTTCATCAGAACATTATTTTTTGGTACCCTTCCCCAGATCTGTGCCTCGACACAATCCTGTCTTGAAGCTCTACAGACAATTCCTTCGACCTCATGGCTTGGTTTTTGCTCTGACATGCACTGTCATCTGTGGGATCTTATATAGACAGGTGTGTGCCTTTCCAAATCATGTCCAATCAATTGAATTTACCACAGGTGGACTCCAATCAAGTTGTCAACGATGATAAATGGAAACAGGATGCACTTGATCTCAATTTCGAGTCTCATAGCAAAGGGTCTGAATACTTATGCAAATGTAATATTTCAGTTGTTGTTTTTTTATATAAATTAGCAAAAAATATTAAAAACCTGTTTTCGCTTTGTCATTATGGGGTATTGTGTGTAGATTGATAAGAGAAAAATATTATTTAATCAATTTTAGAATAAGGATGTAACGGAACAAAATGTGGAAAAAGTCAAGGGGTCTTAATACTTTCCGAATGCACTGTATATTTGTAATGTTGAATTTTATGAGAATGACACACACATATGCATGGGTTTGTTCAAAGAGAATAATTCCTGTTTACTCCACTGTATCCTCCTTTTAAAAACAACATGTTGCAGAAAGCCACACAGAATGAGAAGAGAAAAAATGTGTGTGTGGGGGGTGGAATATCCTACCAAAGAAGATGATTTCAATGGGCAGGGATAGCAGTGTTTGAGAATTTGGTAAAAGGGATGATGATTGTTTGAGTTTGGCAAGGAATGATTGCCCTGCCCCAATTTTCTCTGATTTATCTGTGTAACATTTTGAAACATTTGGTTGAAACATTTTGGGCCATAAAGTGTTTTTCTTAAAATTTTTTGTGTATTTTCTTTCTTTCAAGGTTGGGGTCAATTACATTTCAATTCAGTCAATTCAGGAAGTAAACTGAAATTCCAATTCAATTTTTTTCTCAATTCTTTTCAATGACAAAAAAATGTAATTGGAATTTCAGTTTACTTCCTGAATTGACTGAATTGAAATGGCATTGAACACAACCCTGCCTTCTTCCTCTCTTTCATTCTGGAACGACTGCTGAGTAACTGTGATCTGATCCACTCTGCAGGTATATAACAGAGTTTGTAAACCTAGGCAATGTGTCAGCTCTGCGTACGTTCAGGGTTCTGAGGGCTTTGAAAACTATTTCTGTTATCCCAGGTAAGACTGTGCAGGTGTGTGTGTGCGGGCGGGCGGGCGAGTTGCGGGGGGGTTAGTGTTAGGTGTGGTTTTGTTTCCGTTTGTTTTCATTTCCTCTTCCACCTTCGCTCCTTTCTCCTGGAGGGATAGGTGCTTCCCTCTCTCACTCTCTCTCACTGTGGTGTCCCCTCCTCCTGCCGGTCATCTTCTTCGGTGGTGATGGTGATGGTGCTGGTGTCGTGCTCTTGCGCATCCGTGCGTGTGACCTGTGGGTTTGTGTGTGTTACTGTTTGTGTTTTTTGTCATGGTGTTTTGTTCTGTGTGTGATCCTACCCCGTTACAGATATGTAACAGAATTTGTGGACCTGGGGAATGTCTCGGCGCTGAGAACGTTCAGAGTTCTCCGAGCACTGAAAACAATTTCTGTGATTCCAGGTGAGACTCTCATTTAAACACTAAAGCTGAACTTATTTAGATTTCTCATGAAATGGATTCTAATAATTTCTTATTACTTTAGACTCTTAAAGAGGATGCCTCAGAAACGATACCTGTTTTGTTTACTTTTAATTTTCCAAACGATCAAAAATGGTAGCAATACATTTTTGATAGGCTTCGCAGTCTACTGGCAGTCTTCTGGTGTTAAGTGCTAAAGGTGCTCCAGATATGACATACTAGAAGACGAACAGCCCATATAATAAGTGGGTGGGATACACTGCAAATGTTGTATTATTGCTTGTATTTTAATAATAGTCTCCCCAAAAGTGACATTAACAGATTCATACAGTATACTGAGTGCAGATCGTATGGGTAGGAGCCTGAGTTTTCCCCCAGGGAAAACTTCAGGCCCTAGTTGATAACCCTCCCATGGTTTAGAAAAACTCAGGGTCTTAGTATGAGTAGTAGAAATGCATTTATTTTGTTTATATATTTTGAAAACTACAGAATAGTTATTATTATTGAAATCTTAACCTCCAAGTCAAAGTGATAGACAAGGGTTTTACACTCACAATATATTTGTAAGCTTTTCTTATTTAGACCATGAGTATCTCTTCAGAGAGGTTCGATTCACTTTCCAACAGAGAGTAATAATGTGTTGATAGCCACCAAATTAATGAATATAGGTAAATACATAACGTTTAGGACCTTTGACGAGTTTGTGTTCAAATTTCGAACTTAGTTGTTGTCACCATCTAAAAAGTCTGATTTATCAATGCCACACTCTTAAAACACATCACGTTTCTGTATGAAGCCCTGACTATAAAGGAGCACTCTGAAGAACAGTTCATTCCTTAAGACTGCCAAGCCTAGTTTGACAACACACTTTACACTGCATGAAGCTTTTCAAGACACCTGCTTTTTTATCTTACAACTTTGGCTTTTAAGGAGCTTCTTTACTTTGAATTCCATTCTGTTATGATTATAACAGTGAACTCCTGAATGTGGACTTTTCGTTTCTGAGAAGATCTTTGTTTATCCTGGGACATTAAGGCATAAACACAATAGGAAATTAACACAGTGATATGCAAATACATTGGAGATCCATCTGAAGGCATTTGCACCATTGGGAAGTGTTGGATTGAAAATCAGTTAGTTAGCCTTTTGAGATTTTGTAGAACTTCGACTGCAGAACACTTTAATGGTGTAAAAGTGTTGTTGAACAAATGTCTGGGGCAGGAAGTAAATGTGAATTTGTGCATTAAATACATCTAGTCCAGTAAGTAGTGTTGGCTCAGTCTCCAGTGTAGGCCTCTGATCTAAAGGGGTCCCAGCCGAAAAGGCTCACCCAGTGGGGATCACATCACACAGCACCAGTGGGACATGATGGGGGTGCCTAGGATGGGAACCATTCTAACCATGGGAACCAAGCTAAGTCACCATCCCGGTTACCAGACAGACAGGTGATGATGACATGGAGTCAATTCCTTCAGCCTTGGCGTTTAAATGACCTGCATGCAACCTGTCATTCCCACTCGTCCCCCCTCACCTGCCCTCTCTTCTCTTCTAACTTCTTCCTCCTCTGACTGAACCCATTCCTGCGCTCTCTCTTCATTGTGCTGTGCTGCTGTGTTTGATCGATCTGGTGGATGTTTTGTAGTTGTTGTCATATCTATTATCTGAGAGTAGCCCCACTGTTTCCAATGATGCTCTACACTGCCTGTGAGACTTGAACAGAAAAATAACATAAGGACATCTAAATTACATAAAAATTACATTCACATAATGGTGTAAATTTAACATAAACTTGTCATAAATTGGTATCCCTCCACAACTCCACCACCCATTAGTCTTATAACTATTTTCGTGTAGCCTACCTCAGTGTCATTTTGTTGATTTAGAACATTTGAGGAGTATTTTGATCATCACTGAAGTGTGTCAGTCTCATGGAAATCTCATGTAGGGGCACTCTCAATGTTGTTGTGTTTCTATGTTGTGGTGTTTAAAATGTCTGAATGTCTGACCATCTTTTTATGTGTCTTTAATTATTGTACTATTGTTTGATGTAGTTATCAAGGATGCTATTCTCGCTGTAATTTAGTTCAATATGACTTAACAATAACTAACAATATGGAACACAATCACTATTGAGGTATCAGAGTGTTTGAAGTGAAAGCCTTCCTTTCCTCATGGAAAATAGAGGACAATATATCAACCGTACGCATTATTATTGTTATTATTATTATTATAAAAAAAATTATGACACATACGCCTGCAGTTTAGAATATTTCTGTTATACCTGTCCAAATTGAGATATTGGTTTATTCAGAACAGAACGGTCGTTTTGGTTTGATGTTAACTTAAAAAAGTACACTTTTATGTGATGGACTACTATATCACTGTAATTCTACTATATACACTCTATAGAAATAATTAATAGCTAAGCTTGTACTTTCCAGCAATGCCCATTTCTCTTTGTTTGTGTGCGTGTGTGTGCACTTGTGTGTTTATATGTATGTGTGTGTACACAAACACACACATGTGTGTGTGTGTGTGTGTGTGCACGTATGTGTTTGTGTGTGTGAATGCATGTTTGGTTCCTTCCCCCAGGACTCAAGACCATCGTCGGTGCTCTAGTTCAATCCGTCAAGAAATTGTCAGACGTTATGATCCTCACGGTCTTCTGTCTCAGTGTCTTCGCTTTGATTGGACTACAGCTCTTCATGGGCAACCTGCGGCAGAAATGTGTCATCTGGCCAATCAACTCCACTGAGAACTACCTGGCCAATGGCAGCAAGGGCTTCGACTGGGACGAATACATCATGAACACCAGTGAGTCCGACACAGAGCCAAAAGATGTGTGACACTGAGACAGAAGACCGTTTCGACTTATAACATTTGATTTGAGTTTGAGGGGGTGCCAGGTAGGCTGTGCCTACCAGAGAATCTGATAAAACGTATCCTTTTTAGTTAATAGGTCGATCTTATCTGTGTGTCAGTCATAGTCTAAATTTAACACTGTAATGGAAAAGCTTACTTTCGTAAACCCAGTTCTCTGATAATAGAGGTATCTCACAATGGGATATGCCTTCTAAGGCCGGTCACTAAGGAAGCTCCAATCACACAACGTCTGTTGGGCCCGCCTTCTGGTCATTCTCAAGCATTCTCGAGCAGGGAAGCGCCGTGAGATACCTCATTCTATTATCAGAGAACCGGGATTACAAAAGTAACCTTAAAGAGCCACTGAACACGTGTTTTTCTGTTGCTCATTTGAAAAACGAGATTTCAGTCTTGGAGGTGTGTTTCCTGACCGATTCCGCGTTTGGTTCATGATGTTTGTCCCCCATGAGACAATGTAGATGAGGAAGCCTATTTCACTTCCTCAAAATCCCCAGACTGAATCTAAGATAAATGAAGAAATCTGTAATTAATTTTGACAAGGATATTTTAGTTGAGCAATTTTACAACTAAGGTGTTTGCGCAGTATTTCACACGTAAAAATATGCGCAACGTGTTGTCTTATGTAAATAAAGTCGGGCTGCTGGGCAGGTCTGTCTCACTGTATATGCTATTGGATAGAGAGCAATCACTGCAGCTGTTCACCCCAAATTAATGGGCAAATGTAAATTGTCAATCAAAACCCAACCTTCATTTACCCGTTGTGACACACGGATGTCCCAAACTCCATTTTAGACGAGACTGACTTTATGACCAAAATGATCCTGTTAATTGTGACACTAGAATCACTGTTTCTGACTCATATCAATGCCACATAGGCCATTTTCAGAGGGATTCACTTTTTAAAGGCAGTCGCTCTTTTAAGTTATCTTTCAAATATTAGTTTTGCTATCTCACAATGGGATATAGCCCACTCCCGTATCGCAGATATGTGACCGACTGCCTCGATTCGGTCTTATGTAGCAAAATTTTAAATTGTGTTTTTTACATTGGATAAAAGTAGAGACTCAGAGCTAGAAAATGGAAATCATACACTACAGTTGAGGAACAATGGGAAAGTAATTCTGCTTTGAAAGTTGATAAACTTGTAACCTCACTTTTGAGAAAATGGCACTTGAATGGGCGGCAGGTAGCTTAGTGGGTAAGAGCGTTGTGCCGGTAACCGAAAGGTCGCTGGTTCTAATCCCCGAGCCGACTAGGTGAAAAATCTGTCGATGTGCCCTTGAGCAAGGCACTTAACCCTAATTGCTCCTGTAAGTCGCTCTGGATAAGAGCGTCTGCTAAATGACCTAAAATGTAAATGAATGTTTTGGTAAACCTATTGGAGAGCTCTTTTTTGTCTACATCCATTCTGCACCATTCACACCCTCTTAAGCCTTAGCCCCACCCATCTCTTTAAGGATTTACATGTGAGGACATGTACTAAACAACCAAAGATTTCAAGACTAAAGGCTGGTTTATACTACGTCTATCGACAGTTGTCACAGTGACATCATGAACATTCTATTGTCGTCTGACATCAAACTTGTCGTTGTTGTTATGAAAATGAATAAACACAAAAACTACAGGCTGCATGACATCAGCAGCCTGGTGGTCCAAAATAGCATAACTAGTGTATTTTAATACAAATAAACCCACCAGTTTAAAAATGAATTTAGTATATGTCAATCTAGCGAACCAGGAAACTAAAAGCAACTTTCTAAACAATGTTTTGGTTCATTTCTAGCTTGTTAGCTAGCTAGCTAATGTTAAGTTAGCTGGCTAGCCAATTCAAATAATGACCATATCATATAGCTGACAACGTCTTCACTTTAGCTAATTTGTCTTCATTATTACAGGAAAATAAACTCACAACAAGATCATTATTTACAAGTTAATGGCGAGCCAATTATAGAAAATAGCTTACGGTTGTGAGTGTGACGAAATAAAAGCAGGGCATTCTACCGGAGAATTTTAGAACTTGGACACTGTCTCGTTGGCCTAACTTTATACGTTTGGTGCAGGTCATGTTCTTCACATTACCGTCTCTGGTAAACACATACTATATCAAATAAAATCC